GGAAATGTGAGGGGCAGAGAAGACAAAATGAGCAGGAAAACAAAACAACGAAGAGACAGGGAAATGGGAGATCGAAGCGGTACGAAGGTCGAAGGTCAAAGAATAGTCACCTCGATGATCCCCGCTATCTATTTTGTCTATTTTTTCTCTTGCTGATTTCTGTTGTTGAGACGCTACGGAGGCGAATCCTATCACCTCGCCGTTGACAGTAAAGAACATGACATCCATTTCAAACACCTAAAATTATGGTCATTCTCAACATAGGGAGGGAGGGAGGGAGGGAGGGAGGGAGGAGTGGCAGGGTTGACGGCATCGAAGATGTGGGAAGGAAAAATCCAGACGGATTCAGAGGTTCTTCTAATCATCAAGACAGTCGAGGAGAGAATCGCTGACATTCAGGTGCTCGACTGGAGGAGAAGAGGGAGGAGGAGAAAGAAGCTGATGTGTTGGTTGGGGTCAGGAGAAGATCAAGGAGACTCATCCTCATTCAGTGCCAGAGTTCATCGCCATGGACATCAGTGCAGGTCGGGTAAAGGAGGGAGCAAGGGATGACAGTGAGGGGAGGGCAGGGGAGGGGAGAGAGGGAGAGGAGGGGTGAGGCTCACTGATCTCCAGGGCTTCCGGAGTACATGCAGTGGCTGCAGCACACGTGCAAGGTAAAGTGACCAGAAGAAGAACATGATGAGCTGCTGGTGAAGATAAACAAATAAAAGTTGTCGTCTTGCTCCTCGTCACTTGTCTTCTTCGTCATCGTTGTCTTCATCTATCGTCTCTAATCGTCCGACACCTTGAGCAAGACTTTGCCGATGACTTGACCAGACTCGAGCAGCGCGTGCGCTCGAGCTGCTTCGGCCATGGGAATTTCAGCTGAAGTTGCGTCAAAGTGATGGAGAGGCGGAGGACGGCGAGTCTCACCGCAGATGACGGGCTTGACGCGACCACTTTCTGTTCAGTGTGAGGAGAAGGACAAGAGATGGCGAAGAGAGCAAGAGAAGGAGGAAGGGAAGGAAGAGGAGCAAAAGATGAGGAGGTGACGAGGAAGGTGGAGGGGAAGAGGAGGGGGTAGGAGGAGGGGAAGAGGGGGGGGGGGTAGGAGGAGGAAGGCGGACGGGTGGAGGGGGAGGTGGACAGGTGGACATGGAGGTCACCAAGGAGCGGCCAAACGTTGTCTTTCAAGCTCCTTGCGATCTCAGCTTTCTCTTCCCGTGTTCTTCGTCTCATGGTTGACCCTGAAAGAAAGTCAGCAGGTGAGGAAGGGCAGGAGCAGGAGCAGGAGCAGGAGCAGGAGCAGGAGCAGGAGCAGGAGCAGGAGCAGGAGCAGGAGCAGGAGCAGGAGCAGGAGCAGGAGCAGGAGCAGGAGCAGGAGCAGGAGCAGGAGCAGGCAACCTTTGAGCTCAAGCTTCTTCATCATCACAGGCATGAGGTCAAGCTCCATCTTGCTACCTTTCTGAAACGCGATAGAAACATGTCTGATCATGACCTAAGTCAAGTCCCTCCCTCCTCCACGTCCCCCCTCCTCCCTTCTCCTCCCTCCTGCACGTCCTCCATCCTCCCTTCTCCTCCCTCTCCCTTCAGCCCTTCATCCCATTCCTACTCCTACCTCCCCTCTCCCATCTCTCTGGTCCCTCCCATGTTTTACCTCCCGCCGGTTCGCAGCAGGCGGATGTTTTTGTTCACATAGTCGCCTCCCACCATGTCAAGAATGACGTCCAAGCCTGTGCGTCCTCCTTCATCTCTTCCTCTCTCCCCCATGCTCTCCCAGCCCTCCACCTCCCTCCCTGCTCTCCTCTCGTCCCCTCGCGCATTACTTCTTGTCTCTCACCGTCGTCTTTGCCGTTGATCTCCTTGATCTGCTCGCCCGTCATCTCTCCTCCTCCTCCTCCTCCTCCTCCTCCTCCTCCTCCTCCTCCTCCTCCTCCTCACCTTAGCCTCAAAATCTTCCTCCCCGTAGAGCACAACATGATCAGCGCCCAACGCCTTCGCCTCTTCAGCCTAATGTGATCATCAGATACATCCTCATCCTTACCTCCCCGCACCCTCCCTGACATCGTTTGACTTGCCTCCTCCCCTCTCCCCCCCTCTCCCCCCCTCTCCTCCCCTCTCCTCCCCTCTCCTCCCCTCTCCTCCCCTCTCCTCCCCTCTCCTCCCCTCTCCTCCCCTCTCCTCCTCTCTCCCAACCTTCTTTGCCGATCCGACTGTAGTGAAGATCTTGCGGGCTCCCATGGCCCTGGCAAGTTGAATCGCCGCCGTTCCTGACGACGTCGCAAGGTTGAAAACCAGAATTGCAAAAGCGAGGACGAGGACGAGGATGAGGAGGGGGTGCAGACGAGGATGAGGACGAGGAGGGGGTGCAGACGAGGATGAGGACGAGGAGGGGGTGCAGACGAGGATGAGGACGAGGAGGGGGTGCAGACGAGGATGAGGACGAGGAGGGGGTGCAGACGAGGATGAGGATGAGGAGGGGGTGCAGACGAGGATGAGGGCGTTGGAAGGGGTAGTGGGAGGGGAGCAGTAGGTGTCACCTATGCCGCTGGTCCCTCCATGGATGAGGATGTTTTCACCGGGAAGGAGTCGCGCAAGGACCTTGAGGGAGTGAGAGGAGGAGGAGGAGGAGGAGGAGGAGCATCACAAATACGTTGAACCACACGGTGAAGTAGTTCTCCGGTAGCGCCGCAGCCTCCCGCAGCCCCAGGCCGCGAGGCAGCGGCAGACAGTTGCCCTACAAGAGTCTCAGGGCCAGCAGAAGGACAGCAGAAGGACAGCAGAAGGACAGCAGAAGGACAGCAGAAGGACAGCAGAAGGACAGCAGAAGGACAGCAGCCTTCGCCTAACCTGAGGAGCGAGGCAGAGCTCCGAGTAGCCTCCTCCTGGAGTCAGCGCACAGACCTCATCGCCCTCCTGCAAGCCCATCAGGTGAAGACAAGAGGAGGAAGAGGAGGAGACAGGAGGAGGAAGAGGAGGAGACAGGAGGAGGAAGAGGAGGAGACAGGAGGAGGAAGAGGAGGAGACAGGAGGAGGAAGAGGAGGAGACAGGAGGAGGAAGAGGAGCATTTCAAGAGCAGAGACCTTGAGATGCTTCACGCTGCTCCCTACCGACACGATGCGACCTGACACTTCCAGCCCGAGGAGGGGAGAGTCGCCTGGGGGGGGAGGATACTGACCCTGCGGTGCTGGCGTCAGGTTGAGGCAGCAGCAGCGCTGGCAACCTTGCGCTGCATCACGTCTGGTCGGTTGACCCCCGCGTACGCAACCTTGATGAGAACATCGTCCTCTCCGAGGTTGGGAACCTGATAACCTTATCAGCCGGAAAGCAGAGGCAAGAGAGGAGAGAGGAGATGGCTGTGCTGGTAGTTGCGAAGGTGGAGGAGGAAACTAACGGGGCAGTCGGGCGAGACTCTCAACACCTCCTGCAAGCAGCGTCATCCTCTCCTTTCCCTCAGCCTCCTCTAACCGGACCAAGCTTCGGGTCGATGCTCGCGTCCACGATGACAGCCCGGCAAGAGGTGAAGGCCATGCTCCTATGCCGCTCTCAATGCTCCTTCAACTGCTCTCAACATGCTCTTCCTACCTCCACCCTCGTCCGAAGATCCGCAAGCTTGCGAGTCGCTTGAGCGGGTTGATGGTCCTCCTTAAAGCTACAAGCAATCAGTCCCTCCCTCTCTCCCCCTCATCCTTTCCTCCCTCATGTGTCCCTCCCCTCTGTTCCTGTCCCTCCCCCTACTCTCCTCGTCTCCTTCCCTTCCCCCCACTACCCCCCCCGTCCTTTCGCCTTCCCTCGCACTTGCGTGGTCACGTCCCCTCACCATGGCAGAGCATCGCGAACGTTCGGGGGTGGCGGGAGGCCAGGGAGGGGGTGGGGGTTGAGAGAAGAAGCTGACGCACGAGGAGGCAGGGGAGAGAGGAGGAGGAGGAGGAGGAGGAGGGAGAGGAGGGTAGCAGACGAGAGAGAGGGAACAGGCGAGCGAGGACGAGGACACAGCTTCATTCAATCTTGTGCTACATGTGCTAACATGCCATCTCGGTTCTCCTTTCTCCCTCTACAGCCATCCGCAGCTTGACCTTTGAATCTCCTACTCACTGGGCAGTGAACATAGGGGCTCCAGCCGCATCTCCGGCTCCCCACTCAGCTCCACCAGCCTGCGCTCCCCACTCGTGCGCACCAGCACCAGCCCACTCGCCAGCTCCCTGCAGAGTCGCGTCGTAGCCCGTAGCATTGAATTCAGCAGGAGGAGCCTCGATGGCCTCCTTCTCGTTCTCCGCCTCCTTCTCCGCCTCCTCGGGGTCGCGGTAGAAGAACATGTCCACCATGATGTCCCACGGCGAGTTGCGCTGGATCACGTTGCGGAGGCGAAGGACCTCACGGGCGAGGAGCCAGTAGAGGAGGCCGATGGACTGCAGCAAAGTCAGCGCAGGGGAGGGCAGGGGAAGATCTTCACCTGCTTGCCCTTGTTGTTGGCAGGAACGGCGACGTCGACGAAGCGGAGAGGAGAGTCGGTGTCGCAGAAGGCAACAGTGGGGATGTTGACGAAGGAGGACTCGTGGAGGGGCTGCGAGTCCGTGCGGGGGTCGGTGATGACGAGGAGGCGGGGCTCCTGGAACTGCTGCTGGATCTGGTTGGTGAAGGTACCGGGGGTGTAGCGACCAGCCATGTAGTTGGCGCCAGTGTACTGACCGAACTTGAGCACGGCACGCTGACCATAAGGACGAGCAGAGATTACGCAAACTGTCAACAAGTCAATGGCGATCTCCTCGACCTCAGCCTCTCCCCCCCGCCTCATCCCCTGTCATCGCTGCCCTCCCTTTGCTCGTCTCTTGCTCGTCTCTTCTTACCATCAGCGGGGTTCTCGATGGCGACAACAATGCGGGCAGCGAGCATGAGCTTCTCCCACGTCTTGGCCAAGTTGATGATGTAAAGACCGTCAGCGCGGCGCTTCCAGATGTACGGCATCATCTTGTTGTCCAAGTTCTTGGTTCCGAGATGAACGTGGGCGGCGAGCATCTTCGCCCAGTCATCGTCGGTGGCTCGAAGCGCGGGAGGGAGGCTGGTGTTAGACTGCACCATCCACATCAGCTACATGGGAGCGACTTTCCTGATGCTACCATGCATTCTGAACACACGACAATACACATGTAGAGAGAAAAAATATCTTCCTCAAAGAAAAAAACTCCAGGAACGTCCGCAAAAGGGAAGGATGTTCATGGAAGAAGATAATGCTGAGGAGCACAAGAAGGAATGTAGCCCTCATATAACAGACGGCGCAGAATATATGCAAGAACGCAGCAAAAGGCACAGTGGACCGCCTTTTGTGGAGGCTTTGAAGAAGGGAGAAATGAGAAAGTACAGCAGCAGCAGCAGCAGCAGCATTATCATCATCATCATCATCATCATCATCATAATCATCATCATCATCATCATCATCATCATCATTGTCGTCTTCATCATCCTCCTCCTCCACCTCCTCCACCTCCTCCACCTCCTCCACCTCCTCTCACCATGGCTGCACGCGATGGCGTGGGTGAGAACCGGAGCTGCGCGTGCGACTAAAAAAAACAATTGGGGTCAACAGGATACCCACCCTTAGATCACCCATAACCCCTTCATCATGTACAAATTGGACCCCACGATTTGTATGCAGCGCGTGGCCATCAACCTTTGGGACCCCCATTTTTACCCAACAAACCAGAGGGATGGGTCAACAGAATTTGCCCACGTCCCCACATAGACCACTGCTGGCCCCACAGGACCAACTCGAACATAGTTCAGTTCCCCGGCCGTTTTCCCCAGCAGCGGCCCCGAGCCGGGCCGGACTCACCCGGTGACCGTCTGGGCCGCAGGGTCCGACTGGAGGGTTCGGATAGTCTAGTCATGACTCAGTCGGTCAGTTCACGTTGACTCATGTATTCGACCTTGATGACAAGTATCGTAGTATGACTCCGACTTAGTCTGATCTAAGTCACCTACAGTTCTTCCGAGACTTCACGTCCACTCGTTGCTTTCCTCTTGCTGGCCTCCTTCGACTTGAGCTGCGATCATCTCGTGGTGGAGGTCGATCACCATCACGCAGATGTTGTCGTAGGACCCCAACCTGTACGCCTCTCTCACCAGCTCTTCGGCGCCATGATCCTTCTCTTCCCACTTCTTCCACACGAATTCGACGGCCTCTTGCGAGCTCATCACGTCCCAGAGCCCGTCGGTAGCCAGCAGGACGAACCGCTGGGCCTGAGGCTCGCGGGGCTTCACGTGGATCTCGGGCTCGGCGATGACGAACTGCTTCAGCTCAGCGTCGCCGATGGCGCGAGAGACCGCGAGGTAGCCCATGACGCGAGGGACCCCCAGCTCGACCACAAAGCCTCCAGCAGCCTCAATGCGCGCCTGCTCGTCTGGACGTCCAGGTTTGTGATCCTCTGTCAGGTCGATAGCTCTCACCTCCCCTCCCATCTCCTCCCCTTCCTCCTCCGCCTTCACCGCCAGCACAGCTCGAGAGTCGCCCGCATTCGCAGCAATGATGAAGGAGGGAGAGACAGCGACAGTGACGACACAGCAGCCATCGCGGACGCCGAGGGAAATGAAGTCTTGATCGGTCTTGACGTACGCCTGCAGCAACAGCTTCACTCCCCTCTCACTCTCTCACTCCAAACTCACCTGCTGGATGGCAGACTGAACTTCAGCGAGAGACGTCTCCTCCTCCAGCGACGATGCGATATTATGCAGGAGCATCTCCCGCACGTAGAGGCTCCCGCGATAACCGTTGTGCCCGTCGAACACTCCGAAGAGAGACAGGTCTCGCTTCTTGATCCTCTTCCCTTCCTTGCCTTGCCCTCCTCCCTGCCCCTCCTCCCCCTCCTTCTCTTTCGCCTCCTCTTGCTCGCCGCATCGCACAAGAGCTGCAAAATTGTCTTCCATGTAGTTGGGCAGCCCCTGCATCATGCAGGCATGCATGGGTCCGTCTTCCTCTCGATGAGTTGTCAGGTGAATCTCGTTGAACGCATCGTCTTGTTGAAGCCCTCCAACTTTGGGTGTCTCCTTCTGCGGATCGAGATAGTCGTCTGCCATGAGACTCTCTTGCTCTCCTTCCCCCGACTCCACCTCCTCCTCCTCCTGCTCTCAAGTTTCGTCACTGCTGGTCGAGCTAGCAGTCAATCCTCACCTCGGCCGAGCTTTGGGTGTTTGAGGCGGCAGGGATGACCTTGAGGACTCTCCTTCCTGCTCAGCTGTCACGGACCAACAGAGGCAGCAGCTTCAAGGCAGCACGAGGAGCACGAGGAAGATCATCAAGGTAGGGAGGAGGTGCCAAGGGCAGCAGATTCAACGGGCAGTGTCAAGGTGAAAGAGGGCATCACCGTATCGCTTTTGATTCAGCGCGCGTATAGCCTTGAGACTATCGTGGGGGTCGACGAAACGGACGAAGCCGTAGCCTTTGAAGGTAGGGGGACTCTTGGAGTGATCGAAGATCAAGCGCGCTTCCTTCACCTCCCCGTACTTTGAGAATAACATCTTGAGATCTTCCTGCGCGCGGCAGTCAAACAATTCAATCCAAGTTCCCTGCCCCGTTACCAGTCTCTGAAAGCGCTTGTCGAGCCCTGTGACGAAGATCTCTTCGCACATCAGCTCTGCCTCCGTCATGTTCGCGAGTGGATCCACTGTGGCAGACTTGAGCTTCTTCCTCCCGCTTGCTACAAGCTCTTCGTCTTCCTCCTGGTTTGTTTTCTCTCGCTTGTTGGCACTGGAGCTGTTGGAATCCTGAGAGCTTCTCATCCGTAGCTCGTCTTGAGAGTGAGCGAACAGGCAGTGCTCCATGTATTTACATCTCCCCAGCTTCAGGTAGTTGGCGCACAACTCAGTCTTGTAGTTCCACCGCCTCTTCTTTCCCTGCCCTCCCTCCTCCTCTTGGTTCTTCGAGTTCTCCGCGTTTTGTCTTTGAAGGTCAACGGCAAGTCCAAAAAGCTCTGAGTTTGGATTGAGGCCCTAGGGAGACATGAGCTACCGACGGAAACAAAAGGAGGCACATGGGAGGAGAGTGGAAGAGACGGAAGTGCCAAGGAGAGGAGGGAGGAAAGCGGGTAGAGGCCGACATCGGAGAGGTTACCTCTTGTTGATTCTGAGGGACGTTGAGCTTCTTGTGTTGCTGCAGTGCGTTGATGAGAGCCTGCCAAGATTTAGATGGGTGAAGAGCACAACAAGGAAAACAACTTGCAGCATCTCGGGATCTTTCAGGATGGCACTCAAGTTTTCTGCCGAGCCACCAGCCTCTGGCGTTGGGCTCGCAGCACTGGTTTGCATCTCTTGCTTCTCCCTGAGTTTCTTCATCTCTACGTCCTGGTTGGCATGGGGCTGCATCTTCTCTATCGCCTCTTGCAGCATGAGGTAGCCCGAATTGTTCCGTTGCACCAGGGCAACTGACGTCGCGACCCAGTTCTTCCTCACGAGGTTGTAAGCTGCATCGATCTTCACGATGTCTCCAACCCACAGCCCTTTGATCCCGCACGCATCTCGCAGCTCATTCTTAATGTAGATACAATCGTCTGCAAATGAGAAGTTCTTTCCCGAGCTCGTGATGGTACAAGTGTACCCGATCTTGGGTGGCTGAAGTTGTTCAGGAAAGAATTGACTGACAGTCGACTTCTCGGCTTGTTGCGTCAAGGATGCGGTGACATCCTCCAAGGTCGATGAGTCTTTGACTGCGCAAGATGTCTCATTGTCCGGAGGGAGAGGCTGGCTCGTGGGGTCTGGAGAGTACTTTCCCTTGGAAACGCTCAATGCCCGCCAGTTGTTGCTTCCTTTCTTGTGCGGCTGGCAGATGACTTGCAGCTCGAAGTTTCCCTGACCCTTGAGGATGTTCCACCACCGCTGAACCTCCAGCCATAAATCTTGCGAGAATGTTCGCCGCGAGATGAAGATATCGGCTTGTCCCGGAGCAGATTCTGAGATGCAGAAGTGTGCGTCCGGGGGATACGAGTCTGACGCCATCACCCTCGCGATCTTGCCCGAAAAGGTCGAGTTTTCTGGGCCGTTTTCTGCGGCAACTGGACCTGAACCTGTTCGGTCTGTCTGCGTCAAGATGGCTGCCAACTTCGAGGTGTCAAAAGGAGATCGAAGCTCATCCCTCCCATGCGCAAACGAGCATATCCTCTCGAACTGACAGGTTCCTTTCTGCATGAACTCACGGCACAAGCGAGTCTTGTGGAGAAGCAAGTGCTTTGGGATTGTCAGAAGAGAATTGGACTTGTCGGCGTCCGTTTGGGCATTGCTATCTGCTTTTTCTGCAGGCACGGTACTCTCGGAGGTTCTTGCAGCTTCAATATGGTTGGACTTCTGTTTCTCTTCCTGATGGTCTAAGTTTTGATTCCTCATCAAGCCCGGGGCTGGAGAACTTCTTGGAGGAGCAGCAGCGTGTTGATTGAAGGAGTCTTCTTCCATGGGTGAGTCATACCTCATGTTGCTGCGATGGTCCCAACGGTTATCTGCGGGTTCCTTGTGTAGACGAGGATGAAGAGGTCGTCTTGAAGGTGCTTCAGATCCATCGGCCGCGATCTTCTTGTCACTCATCCTTCCTGTAAGTCTTCGAGTCGCTGCTTCTTCTGGTCTCAGACTGTAAACGGGAGAATGCGGCCTCATCCTGTCTTTGGACACGACGACTTGTCCCGTCATGAGCATCGCCGACTCGAAGGAAATCGGTTCGCCCGATCGATACACCACTTGGCCATCTCTCGAGATGTAGTCTTTGTGATACAAGGATCTCCATCGATCTACTATTCGTTTGAGGTCCGCACTCCCCCCGAGATGGTTCAGGATAGACAAGCACTTCTGAGCTACCTCACTCTTCAATGCAGCTAGGTTGTTCCTAGAACGATCTTCCGACTTGCTTTTCCTGATGGAGGAGGAGGATATTTCCTTTCTGGCAGCATCTCGATGGTATTCGTGTGCCTTTCCCAACTTCCTGGAGTAAGCCCGCGCTTCTGCTATAGACGCGCTTCGCTCGTCGTCATCGGAATTCCGAGCTCCACCCCTGAGCCGGCACAGGGACATTACTGCATACTCCACATGAGCGCAGGAGAGCTGTGTGCTGCCTCGAGAAGCTTCAAGCCCTTGAGGCTGCCGCGCGAGTTGTCTGTCTGGGGGAAACGGAAGAGAGGTGAGGATCTTACAACTAGCTGCAGTGATGGCTAAGTTTTCAAGGTGAGACGGACACTGATGGTTCTTCGATCCGGCCAAGGCAAGAGTGCACAGCAAGATCAAAACAAAGCTCGTCGAACTTCTATGGACTAGAAATGCTCGTGACCAACTTAGACCTTCACTCCTTGTCATGCCCCTCAGCGACATCAGCTTCACCATCCACTTTCAAACGGATCGAGGATTGTTTCGCCGATGTACAGACACCAGCAGGAGTTCAGCTGCGGAGATGTTTGTCTCGCGAGCTCATTTTGACGGCCTCCTGTCACTGACCACCCGCAACTCGCGGAGAGCACGAGGGTCGCATCACCTCTCGGCCATCCACCTGCTGCGCGTTCCAGCTGGTCGGCGTTCAGCTCATCATGCGGGTCTGCCGCATCCTTCGGCCATCATGTTCAGCTCGTCTGCCTCCTGCCTCCTCGATCTCCTCCTCCTCCGTTCGATCCTCCCCCTCCTCCAAGCTCTCTCCCCCTCGCCATGCCCGCGCCGCCGTTATCGTTGTAACAGGAGAAGGGACGGGCTCGACAGGGTGAGGGTACCCCTGGTGGGGGTCAATTTGTACCCAGAAAAGTGTTGAGTGAAAGAACATCGCTAGCTGGGATCGGGGGGTGGGGTCATGGGCTGTCGTCTGGTCCGCCTCAGACATCGGCACGTGAAGGATGAGAATGGCAAGGAAGGCGAAGAACGCTCGGTCGAAGCGAGCGATGATGGCGCGAGAGGCGAAGGTGGTGGAGGAAGAGAGAAGCTCCCTCTTCATGCGCGGCACGAGCACCAACGAGCTGATCAACGAGATCCTCAAGGATCTGGTGACATGGTAATGATGTGCCTCTGCGAGCCACTGAAAGCCGTGTAGAACGCTCTCAAGCAGCCAAATTCAACCTTCTTCCGACGACGAAACGACAAGCGACCATTTGAGGATGAGACTTCGGTCTATTTGTTGCATCGCTGTTGCACAAAAGCCTCACACCGGCTTGTCAGGTTGAGTTTCTCTGCATGAAAAACGAAGCTTCAATTTTTGGCTTCGGAACACATAGCAAGAAGCGGCCCAACAATTTGATTCTTGGCAGAATGTTTGACTACAAGGTAAGAGCATGAAGATGTTCTGTCCAACTTCTGCTTACATTAACTTTTAGATCTATGACATGTATGAGTTTGGCTTAACCGAAGTGAAACCCGCCTGCTTGTTTTCAGCCAACTCTGCGCCGTATGTTTGCCGATGAGACTGACGGCCAGCACGACATGGTAGAGACTGACGTCACTGGTGCAGGAGCTACCAGAACAAGCCTCTCATTGTCTTCCAGGGTGATGCGTTCGAGACAGACACAAAGGTAGGGCTGTTGCCCTTCGCAGCCTGTCTGACTTGAGTTGGCAGCTTGAGGGCCTCAAGAACTTTTTCCTCGACATGTTTGCGCACAAGGCGATGGACAAAATCAACTTGGGGGGACTGGAGCATGTGATTGTTCTGACAGCCGAGGTTAGCCCTGCCATCCCTTGCTGTGTCGACACTCACTGCAGCTGCAGGGATCCAAGGTGGCATTCCGGCACTACAGCATTTCGTTCAAGAAGTCAGGCGGACGAGTGCCGAGAGTGGAGTTGGAGGAGCTCGGTAAGCCGCGAGCTACTCGGCTTTTCGTGACGTGGCTCTAAGGGCCTAGCTTCAACATGGAGCTGCGAAGGGAACGAGAAGCTTCAGCTGATATCAAGAGGGTAGACCTTCTGCCTCTGCGCGTTGCAACCTCACCGGGGGGACAGGCTGCTTGCAGGGTACCTAAGCAAGTGAAAGCTCAATCCAAGCTCAAGAAGAACTATGAACGTGAGAACTTGCCTCCTCTTTCTTCCCAGACTGATGGATGAGGCAGGGAACGCGCTCGGGGAGACGATGGGTCGAATTCACATGCAGAAGCAAAGCTTGGACGAATTTCAGGTGCCTTGAGCAGAAGCGCCGGAGGTTTCGATCTGACAAGCTGCCTCCACAGACTCGAAAGGTTAAGGCGCTCAAGAGAGGCCGAGATAAAGTTGTAAGTGGCAAATCAAACCTTGTGGAAACTTGTCCCACTCAATAATGCTGGCAGGTTGAGGCTGAGAGAGCAAAAGAAGAGGCAAAGCGAGCAAAGCGAATGGACGATAGTGACGAGGAGTAAATTTTACTTGATGTAACTTGTGAAATAAAGACGAGAAATAAGACGAGACAAGCTGAACCCTCTTCTCATAGGCAAAACTTTCATGTTTGAACTTGTTTACCTACAAGTCGGCTCACCCTGGTGCAGTCCACATGGCAACTTCGGTCGCAGTGACCAGGGCACGGCAAATCTCATGATGACAATAACAAGTTGAAACCAGCAAAACGAATGGGTGGTTCCACCCAGGCTCGAACTGGGGATCTTTCGCGTGTGAGGCGAACGGATTAACCAACTTTCCCATGGAACCGTTGAACAGACAAGCAAATTGATGATTTATATAGTACTAAATCCCAAGTTGCAGACAGGGGTTTATGGAGGTCAGCTGGGGGTGGGGATGTGGCTACAATGGTATTGAATGGAAGATGGGTAGGGTACTTATGGGAGATCAAGGTGGTGGGGGTGGTACAGTTGCATGAATATAGGGTCCCTACTGCTATATGGGTGGAGGTGGGTGGGTGTTTTTGGAAGGGGTGGGAAAGGGACGAAAGGGCATGAGGTTGAGGCCGCACTGTTTACACGCCTCCTACACGCCTTGATGAAGGGGTAGGGTAGGTGGAATGGAGGGGTGGTATGAGCGGCAGGGTGGGAGTGGGGTGATCAAAGGTCAGGACGAGGGTAGCGGTGGGGTACATTTGGGGGACTATGCCGGGATCCGTCCTGCCTCCTTTTGCAAGAGGGGGGGTGGGGTAGTAAGTTGTGGTACTGATAGAACCTATGGAAGCGGAGGAATTGAGGGCTACATGGGGGTGGGGGTGGGGATATGTGGGGTGGGGTGATGGATGAAACAGGGTCGTTGGGAGGGTGGGGCTGCAGCGGGGGTCGTGTGGGAAGGAGGCTCATCTCATGGCGTACAAGGAGAAATGCGGCGTCTTCGGTGTCTATGTAAGAACAAAGAGACGATGATGATGATGAACGATCATCGATGAGACAGCAGAGAGCAGAGAGCAGAGAGCTGTATTCAGATATCATTGCTCAGTGATTACTGCCACGCTGAAGATGAGCAGATATAGGGGGAGATAGGTACCTTTGGCAGAAGCAGTCGAACTCAACAGGAAGAAGAAGCAAAGAAGAGGAATTTCAAGAAGAAAAAGTGAATTAGGCAGATATGAAACGAACAGGCCATGGATGAGGGACTTGCCATGTTTCGATCAAAGGAGAGGAATGGCGAGGGTGATGAGGACGGGGAGAGAAAGAGAGAGAGGAGAGGAGAGCAAGGGGGAAGGGGAGAAGGAGCAACAACAAGATCAGGATGAAACGTGTGAGTCAAGATATGAGGGATAATCTAAGGTGCTGTGGTGAATGCAGATGTGATGAACGGATGTTTGAGCGTCTTGTGTTTCAGAAACAAACGATCCTTTTCGTCTGACAGAATAGGAGTTGATGCTTCATATCATGTTGACCTCCTTGTACTTGTGCAATCTCATGCTTCTTGAGGACATGGGTGGTGTGAGTGACTTGCAGCCGGTGGCAGAATGTCGAGAAAGCTGCGCACACAACCTACTATGGTATGGTTGGCCTGCAGCATCGGGGACAGGAAGGTGCCGGTCTCGTGTCATGCAATGTCAATGAGGCTGGGGTAAGGCTGTGCGTGCTGTATGAGGGGCTGACGAGATGGCAGCAAAGTGAGTTTCGGCTGCATCGCGGGCATGGGCTGGTGACGGACGTCTTCACCCCCGATGACGTGGACAGCCTCGGCGGCATCAACGCCATTGGACACACACGATACTCGACAGCTGGAGGAAAGACCCAACTCGAAGGCTTTCAGGTCCGCGACCTCCTCCCCCGCTTTCCTCTCTCCTCTCTCCTCTCTCCTCTATCCTCACTGTATTGCGAAGCCCTTCTGCGTGCACTATCGTATGGGGAACCTGGCTCTGGCTCACAACGGCAACCTCTCCAACGCGACGGAACTTCGCGCCTTCTTCGAGAACCAAGGCGTGCTGACGCAGTCCACCGTCGACTCGGAGCTCTTCCTGCACTTGGTGCTGCCGTGGCGCCATGAGCTGCACCCTGACCTCTACTGCAGATCTCCCATTCTAAACGCTCCTCACAGATCGATCAGATATTCGACGCCATGACTCAAGTTGCCTCCTCCTTCTGCTCTCGCGTCTGGTCATGCTGCTGCAGGCTGAAGGCGCTTTCTCAGTCATCATCTTGACTGATCGATTCTTTTGCGCCGTTCGAGACCCCAACGGCTTCCGTCCTCTCTGTATCGGCAGGCTGTGAGTAAGGAGGCGTCAGCGTCCAAACCCTTGACGGGTGCGAGCAGCAAAGGCAGGGGAAGAGACGGCACTGATGGATACTGCGTTGCCTCCGAGACCTGTGCGCTTGACCTGTAGATTGCAATCACTTCCCAGCCCAGCTGACGCACAGCAGGTGCAAGGCAGAGTACGTGAGGGACGTGGAGCCAGGAGAGATGATCATCATCGACAAGAAGACGGTTCAGACCGGCACCTTCTCTTCCCTCAAGCTGCCCCAGAAGTTCGGGACGTCGCAGTGCATCTTCGAGTACGTCTACTTCGCTCGCCCAGACTCGCGTGTCTTCGGCGAGTTTGTCACCAAGGTGAGAAGGGAGCTGGGCAGACAGCTCGCGCGCGAGTGGCCGGTGCCCAAAGTGGAAGAAGGGGAGCTGCTGCCTGTCATCATTCCGATCCCCGAGTCAGCCACCCATGCGACGTTGGGGTACCACGAGGAGTCGGTCAAGATGGGAAGGCCCTGCATCTTCGATTTCGGCTTCTTCCGCAACCCCTACGTCGGTCGCTCGTTCATCTCCCCCTCCCAGGAGCTCCGAGACCTCAAAGTTCTGTGCAAGTTCAACCCCATGGAGCACACGCTCAAGGACAGAATCGTTGTGGTCGTCGACGACTCCATCGTTCGAGGCACCACAGCCCGTCAGCTCGTCAAGCTGCTCTACGCCGCTGGAGCAAAGCAGGTGCACGTAAGGATATCGTCTCCTCCTGTCACGGACCCGTGCTTCTACGGCATGGACTTTCCCTCCAAGGAAGAACTGTTTGCGAACAAATATCAAGGTGAGAAGAAAGGGGCTGTGAGAGGGAGAGGAAGAAGTTAGCAAGGTGAAGTAAGCTTAGATGGGGGGGGGGGGGGGGAGAAGAATTCTTCCTATGCATGATGCAGCGGCAGGTGATATCGAGGCCATGGCAGCTTGGCTTCAGGTTGACAGTCTTGGCTACCTCACTCCCGAGGGGCTTGTGGAGGCTGCGACTCGCTCCTCGGGCACTCGCCACAGCTTCTGCCGCGCCTGCTTCACCGGCGTCTACCCGGTGCCGATCGAACCCACCGGCCGTCGCGACTCATCGCTAGACTGGTAGCAACGGTCATGGATCACATTAAAGCGTAGGAGCCGCAGCTGCCTCAGGACGCTCCGAGTAAGTTTCTTCCGAGTCATCGTACTCGCTGATGCCGATTCTCAACACTATCACTACTGGTGTCCTTAAAGTCTGCGTATGACTTCATTTTCTTCACGTGCCAAGACTCTCACTCCCGTCCTTACTTGCAACATCAAGCTTTCAAGTAGCCAAGTTTTGACTCCCGATGCACCCAAACGAGCAATCGCACTGGCCAGTCAGATACAGGCTGGAACAAGTATGTTTGTTCCGGGCTCGGATCTGCAATGAGACCAGCAGCCGCTCACCATCATCCGGCGGGAACGAAGTGCCGACCAAACGCAACATAGTCTTATGGACACTGCCAACTCTTACGGTTCACCGTGCTCGCGGTCCCAAGCCTAACTGATCAACCCCACATCCTCTTGCGCTTCGTGTAGGTAGAAAGTGCCTCAAGCAGAAGAAAGCAGCAACAAGCAGGAAGTATAGGATTTACTGGCAGAAGGTAAAAAGTGCCTCAAGCAAAACAAAGCAGGACAAGCAACACCGCTCTTGTTGCAGTGTGCTCTATGCCTGACGGTCTTGCTTGTTGCTGCTTTCGTCTGCTTGAGGCACTTTTTACCTTATGCGAGTAAAACTCAGTAGACCTACACGCACACAACACACAGTGCAAACACACTGAGTTTTACTTGCATAAGGTAAACCCTCTCTGCTGTCTACGGGGCTTCCCACGTGGGCTGGCAGTGTTGAAGTTTAGGGACTGGTTGCCAGCAGTGCTGGTTACTTTCGTGCATGCACACAGCGCACAGCGAGAAGCTGCACAAACACACACAACAAAACAAGACTAAAGTAACCAGCACTGCTGGCAACTGTCAGCCTGAGACCCGGCACTGCCAGCCTACGCGCGAAGCCGTGCAGACAAGCAGGAAGGGCCAAGCAACCACTACCTTCTGCCAGTAAATCCTATACACCACTACGGGCCAAGCAACCACTACGGAGCAACAGTCGCTAGGAGGGGTAACAAGCAGCAGAAGCATGGCGAAGTCCGAGATGAAGCTCCCTTACACGCGATACCCGGAGGCATCCGGCGACTGACCGGTTCAGCTTGTTCCTGCTTTGTTTTGCTTGAGGCACTTTTTACCTTCTGCCAGTAAATCCTATACTGCAGCTGACGCTGGAGGCGCTCTTGTCTGGTGCGAGGCGCATGACGCCCTTGCGGGCGCAAGCACTTCTCGAGCCAGAGGACAGCTCCTCCTCGGACTTTGTCGAGTCGCCCGAGGAGTCTTCGCCGGAGGTCTCCGACTCCGATGGGGGACACCCTTCGAGTGGAGCCGACGATCGGCGCGGAGTTTTGCTTGAGGCACTTTTTACCTTCTGCCAGTAAATCCTATACCGCGACCGGAGAGCTCGACACCACTGGGGTGCTTGCTGCTGGTCCGAGCTCGCCTGCTTCCTCCCCGGCATCGGTCGGGTCACGCCAGTCCTTGGGCATTGCCGCGGCGTCGCCGCCGTCACGGGCGGCTACCACTGACTCGGCTACCGCTGACTCGGAGGCTAGCGAGGAGGACTACCTCGAGCGGTACCGTGTTCCTGTGTCCAGCCTCCCTCCGTCCGCTGCCCCAGGCGGACACCCGGGCAGCGCCGGCTCCTTGTCGGCGGCTGCCCTTTCTCCGTCCGCGGCCGCCCGCTTTGTGGCGGCAGCGGACGTCTCGACTGACAGTGGTCAGTCGGCTGCCTCCGGGTATCGCGTCTAAGGGATTTTATTCCTCCTGCATGCTCCTGCTGCTTGTTGCTTGATTGCTTGACCCTTAGGCTGCTTGTCTGCGCGGCTTCGCGCTTGGGCTGGCGATGCCGCGTCTGGATGCCAGCAGTGCTGGTTGTTTTCGGGCTTGTGTTTTGTGTGTGTTTGTGCAGCTTCTCGCTGTGGACTGTGTGCCTGCCGGTTCAGCTTGATCCTGCTTTGTTTTGCTTGAGGCACTTTTTACCTTCTGCCAGTAAATCCTATACTACCCCCTTAAAAACACAAGCCCGAAAAGAACCAGCACTGCTGGCACCCAGACGCGGCAGCGCCAGCCCAAGCGCGAAGCCGCGCAGACAAGCAGCCTAGCAGCCAAGATATAGGATTTACTGGCAGAAGGTAAAAAGTGCCTCAAGCAAAACAAAGCAGGAACAAGCTGAACCGGCAGGTACACAGTCCACAGCGAGAAGCTGCACAATCACACACATCCTATATCCACACAAAACACAAGCCCGAAAACAACCAGCACTGCTGGCACCCAGACGCGGCATCGCCAGCCCAAGCGCGAAGCCGCGCAGACAAGCAGCCTAAGGGTCAAGCAATCAAGCAACAAGCAG